ATTTTGTAAATACTCTAAAGAGTCTGTGTTACTCACTAAAATCTCTTTTTTGTTGATCTTATATTTGCTGATAATTTTTTCGGTTTTCAGTTTCTTTCCATCTATTATAGCGTTTACCTAACATGCGTAAATTGGGTACAGATCATCATTAAAGGGCAAAAACATCTATCACAGTACAACTAAAATTTCAGCTGTGTTGATTTATTTGCAGATCTTGTCTTGCCGATAATTTTTGCTGTTAACAATTTTTCTTTATCTGCTAAATTTTGGTCAAATATGCTAAAAAAAGAAGGGATAACAGTCATCGTTTAAGGGGAATAACTCCTATAAGGACTCGACCAACGATTTCGGCTATTTCACATTTTTGTAAATATTGTATTTCTGATCCTTTTAGCCACTGAAAGTTTCACTCCATCTATTATAGTTTTCAAGAGAATAGGCAAAAAATATAAGTAACAATCGCAAAAATCGTCATTTTAGGGCAACAACTCCTATAAGGAATCGTCTGACACTTTTGGTGTAGAGAGCCAGTAGGTAGATCTCATTTTTCTGAACATTTATTAATTGTAAGATTTTCTCTACCTATAGCTGTTTTCAAGATAATAGACAAAACATGTCCTTTATCCCTATGTTCTTTTTTATTTAGCCATGTAAGCTTTATTGGTTCGAAGGCAGGATCTTCGAACCCATATTTTAATCTATATACCCCAAGAATGATTGTGACCAAATTTGATTCAAATTGAACCAATAATTTTTGAGACAAAGATTTTCATAAAAACTAACGGACGACGGACGAAGGACGCCAATAATTGAAAATAACTCATTTGACAATTGGGGCAGATGAGCTAAAAAGTCTTTAACAAATGCACAGCTAGCTAGTATAGAACAAATTTTATAGAATAGTAAAGCAGAACCCTGTGGCAAGCCTGGATTGCTGTTGTCCGTGTAAATGAACAATATTTTCTGAAAATCAAAGTGCATGTGTGTATTAAACGGTGAAGAGTGCATTCACTTAATGAGTACTTTGAAATCTATAGTTCAATGGTTCAACTACATTTATGGACAAAGGAAGATAACTCCAATTTTAAATATCACTTTAAACAATGACATCATTGATATTTTTAAAACAGATCAAAGGAAGATAACTCCAATTCAAATATTACTTTTGCTAACAGGTGGCAGTCTTGTAATTGACTGCTCTATAGGCTTACATGCAAAACAGCTGATCTTTGAAAATTTTTTAAAATAAAATGCTACATAGAAAATTTTGTTCATATCCATATCATGTATGTAGTAATGTGAAATTGTGATTTAATGGGAAAAAAGTGGGTCATGCCACGAAGAATAAAAAGTTATGAAACCCTGAAGTCAAAACTACTTTTTTCTACTTTTTGTTTGCTGTTTTTACTAGGCCGCACCACTTCAAGTAAACACGATATCCTTCCACTTTCCTGGTCTGATATCCCCAACAACATGCAATATTTTTTTCAATCTAAATAGATGTTTCAATTCAGCATAAACTTTTAATCAAACAGAAAAAATTGAGTCCAGAAAAAAATTCCGAAAAAATGGACTATTTTATTTCACTCCATGTTTTGACATGCACCAGAAACTGGAGTTGTAATACAAGACTGGTACCTACAAGGAAGCTATTAAACCAAGAGTTCCAAGAGGTAACGTTGAATCATCCTTTCGGTATGTTATGGACGCCATCACGATTTGGTTTACCATTACGGAATATCTGTTTAACAGATATGTTCCAGTTGTCGTAACTACAATCCCTCTTTTCCCCGAATGTGGCCTACCGAATTAGACTCAGTATATATCAACGGTTTTCTACCTACATGCGCAACACAAGGGGTGCAACGTTATGGAGAAGGATCTGCTTACCCTTCCGGAGCACCTGAGAACACTTCCGTTCGGGTTTTGGTAGGGTTCGTGTTGCTCAGTCTTTAGCTTTCTATGTTTATTTATGTTTACTGTTGTTTGTCTGTCGTTGTTTTTCGTTTTTTGCCATGGCGTTGTCAGTTTGTTTACGACTTGTGAGTTTGAATGTCCCTCTGGTATCTTTCGCCTCTCCTTAACAATTACGTCATGATATTTTTAGTATATATTCTAGATGCATTCACCATGCACAATCTATGTACTTTCTTGACAAGTATGGTTATACCCATACACATAATTTTGTAATGTGAATATCTGAGTATATATTTCCTGGGACTATTATAGTATAATAGTCCCAGATATTTCATTGGTGAATTTCCTCAAATGTTTATGGATCGGATGATTCTGAGACTACTATAGTGTTATAGTAGTCCCTGGATGCATGATTGCATAGAATTTTGTGATCGATAATAAAGCCTGGAAAATTTATAAATATCAAACAAGCTACATAAGGGTTTCATTAGCACGAATACAATCTTCACCCTAAAATCTAATACCCATGTTTATCAGGAACTTGCGAGAAAATAGAAGAAACAAAATTGTAAACTTTTTCTTCATAATTTTTTATGCTATTTCTTGATCATGAAGAACTTCCAAGCTTCTGTCCAAATTTCGTATCATTCCATGACGATTTTACAAAGTGGTTGATGTCTTGAAAATTAAACTGCATGCATATCAATGTAGCTGGCGAAAAACTATGTCTACTTATATCAGTAAAATACTTTAAATGAAATATATATTTTAAAATTTTGTTTGGGATGTTAACAAAGCTTCTATTCAAATACCAATAATTTCTAAGAAGATTTGATAAAATTATTAATTTTTAAAAAATTGAACCAGGACTATATCCAACGGTAAACTGAAAAAAAAACAACATTTTAGTCCGTTCATCAGTCCATCAGAAACCAAAGTCTCTTAATTAAGAGTCTGTTTTGCTCAGCTACATGTAGGTCTATGCGCATCTTCAACAATGGACACTCTCCAACATTATAGACTAGAAAAATATTAATTTATGACAAAAATCTTTTTTGTTGAACTTGTATTGCTGATAATTTTTTTACAGTTTCTCTCTATCTTCTTAGGTTTCTTCCCCAAAAAACAAACTAGAGCCTTTAAAGAGCAAGTGTCACCTGCATCTGCAACACAGGTCACATTTTAGGAAAAATTATGGGTTAAGGGGAATAACTCTATTAAGAGTATACTGACAATTTCAGTCATGTTAACGCATATTGTTTATTGATAAAATTCATCGTTAAGGGCAATAACTCCTCTAAGAAGTCGTCTGACAGTTTGATTTCAATAGACAGTAGGTTTATCTCATCATTCTAAACATTTTTGCCCCTGTCAGATTTCTCTTTCCACAGTAGTTTTCAAAATAATAGACAAACATTGCATTTTACCCATATATTCCATTTTTAGCCATGCCCACCATGTTTGATTGGGGTTATCGGATACATTTAAATAAGATACCTCGTTGATGATCGTGGCATACTTTGGTTTAATTTGACCCAGCAGTTTCAGAGGAGATGATCTTTGTAAAAGTAAATTGACGACAGATGAAAAGAAAGGTAGGCCAAGTGATGGCAAAAGCTCACACTAGCACTATGGGCCAGGTGAGCTAAAAAGAGTTAACAAAACCACTCCTATAAATAATTTACTAACGATTTCGGCAAAATTTAACTTTTTTGTAGATCTTTCTTTTATAGTTTTCAAGATAATAGGCAAAAGCCCTAAAAATTGTTAAAAATCGTCAATAAAGAACAATTACTCCAATATGGAATTGACTGACGATTCCGGATATTAGACTTCCTTGTAGATCTTGTCTTGCTGATTATAGTTTTTTAAGATATTGTACAAAAAACGATAAAAATCATCATTAAAGGGCAATAACTCCAATAAGGAGTCAGCTGACGATTTCAGCCATGGGACTTATTTATAGATCTCGTCTTGCTGATCATTTCTGTTCATTTGAGGAGATGATCTTTTTAAAGGTAAAGGGACAACAAGAGACAACAGACACCACATGATGACAAAAGCTGAGCAAGGTAAGATAGAAAGAGTTAAAAAGAGATGAGAAAAGCTCAATTGGCCCTGTGGGCCAGGTGAGCTAAAAAATGGGAAAACAAATGTTTTCAAAATTTTGCTCTGGATATTGTCATTTGATAATAAAGAAGCTTCTGTTAAAGTTTTTCGAAATTCCACGAAGGTTTGACAAAGTTATAATTGATGTCTAAGAAAACTTTAACCTCAGACTGAACTTAAATGTAGATGGCTGTGACACCAAGACAGAATAAATGGTAAATAAATCTTACTCCATGTCTTTCCTCACATGCTCAACAAAGAGAGGCAAACAATACCAAATGCACTATAAAAACCAAAAAGCTTCACCAAAGTCAATTTCATATGAATTTTTTTTATCATCTTCTACAAAAAGCATAGAAGATTTCAGTCAATTTTAGACTACATCAGCACTATATTTTATACAACATTGGTCATTTTGTAGTTGTTCAATGGTTATTTCATCTCATTTTAGTTATAACTTATATTTTTAATATTTCAGGAGAAAAAGCAATAAAAAATATGTAACTACATTTGTATTTGTAAATGACCTATCAGCTTTGCTGGATATGGGCAATAATACCTATTTGAGTATTTCTGAAGCAGCTGGCAAGCATGTTCCAAAAATCATTGCAGGAAAAGCAATTTACCTTATAACTGTTATGGCATAGCCTGTTCAAATATGTATTTACTAGTGTGTGTGGAATATATTAGCCAAAACCATTTTTATTTATTATAAATGATTTATCACATGAAATGAATTACATCCAGTGTGTAATAAAAAAAGTCTATATAAATTGCTACAGGTTAAAAAATAAATCAATTGATGATGTCTACATTAAACACTCCACACACTTTTCGTCTCACTCTCTACATGTCAATTTGATCATCACAACATGCCATTAAAAAGTTATGCTGTCAAAATCACTTTTTGTTGTGTCAGCAATTATTTAAAATAGAATGATTGCTGGTGAAACTGTCTTCTTATGTTTTGAACATTTTTGTTTTCAATTACTCTGAAGTAAACTATATAAAAGCATTTCAAAGAAAAGTCGTAAAATCACCAACAATAGTACAGTAACTTACAACAAAAGGATACACTGTATTCATTCACAGTGTACATCTGTAGATTAATGTTCAAAATGACCTTTTTTTCCTATACAATCATAATAATCTACATATAAAAGTTCCTAGTTGATTAATGTTAAAGTTTTACAAGTCCTGTATCTGGAGCACTTTTCATTATAAGACTTTGAATTGCCTTAAACTGTGGATGATCTTTATCCCCTATTAACTGTAGAAGTACAGCTTCACTTGTTGTTACTGTTGCACCCATGTGACGAAATCTCTGGAAAGAAACAAACAGGTGACAGACCAGGAAAAAAAACATTAAATATTAATGGAAAAACCATCAGGTTGTAAAAATACAGTAAAGTCTATATTATGCTAATTGAAGCCATGATCATAAATGAGATGAACAAATGCAGCATGTACTGATTTTGTGTCATGGATGGATACCCCATATCCTTTCTTGCAAACTTTTTTTCAGAAACAATTCCTTTTTATTCTTATTAAACTATTTATTGCACATTTGCTGTTAACAATTTCAATTAAGTATATCCCTGTATGTTGATTATTGAATATCTACAGAAAATATTCAATAAGGAATATAGAGTTAGTTAGAATTGAGAATGGAAATGGGGAATGTGTCAAAGAGGCAACAACCCAACCAAAGAGCAGAAAACATCCTAAGGCCACCAATTGGTCTTCAATGCAGCGAGAATATCCAGCACCCAAAGGTGGGCTTCATTGCACTTATACATGATCAAATATTTACAAGAATTAGCTACATGTCTTTGTCAATATTTTTAATATATTATCTAAGCTTCCCTGAGCCGTGAATGACCAAGTTTATGTATATGTAAAATCATGACTAGGAAAGCACAAATTATTCTGATGTAACTATGGTGCTTATTATTGCCTTAATTAATAAGATAAAACTAGAGGCTCTAAAGAGCCTGTGTCGCTCACCTTGGTCTATGTGCATATTCAACAAAGGACACTCTCCAACATTGAAGACAAGAATAGAATTCATAAGAAAAATCTCTGTTTTTTTATCTTGTATTGCTGATCATTTAGTCTGTTTAGTTTCTCTCTATCTTCTTTAGTTTTTGCTCAAAACACAAAAGAGGGTAAAAAAAATCCTTATTTAAGGGGCTGGGCAATCACTCCTATAAAGAGTGACAGCCTACTACCTTTATCAGCAAAATGTGACTTGTTAGTAGATTGGACAATTTCCTCTATATTGTCTTAATTGTAGATCTTGTCTTGCAGATCATTTTTGCCTATTTAAGTTTCTATCTATCTATTATAATTTTTAAGAAATAAGGCAAAAACGCAAAATATTGTAAAAATCATCATCAAAGGGCAATAACTCTCATAAGGAGTAGGCTGATGATTTCGACAATGTGAACTTATTTGTAGAACTTGTCTTGCTGATCATTTTTGCAATTTCATGTTTCTCTGTATCTATTATAGTTTTCAAGATAATAGGCAAAAATGAAAAAAAATGGTAAAATTTGTCATTTGGTAATAACTCCTATAAGAAGTCGTCTGACAATTTTGACGTAAATGGACAGTTGGTAGAGCTCAACATTCTGAACATTTTTGCCCTGTCAGATTTTCTCTATTCATATCGGTTTTCATAATAATAGACAAAACTTGCATTTTACCTCTATGATCTATTTTAAACCATGTAGGCCATGTTGGTTGGCAGGCGGGTCATCAGACTAATTTTTAAACAAGTTACCCTAAGGATGATTTAGGCCAAGATTGGTTAAATTTGGCCCAGTAGTTTCAGAGGAGAAAATTTTTGTAAAAGATTACAAAAATTTACGAAAAATTGTGAAAATTTGATTTAAAGGGCAATAACTCTTTATGGGGTCATTGACAATTTTGGTCATGTGTACTTATTTGTAGATCTTACCTTCATGAACAATTTTGCTGTTTACAGTTTATCTCTATCTAATATAATATTCAAGATAATAACCAAAAACTGCAAAATTTCCTTAAAATTACCAATTCAGGGGCAGCAACCCAACAACGGGTTGTCTGATGCATCTGAAAATTATTTCAGCAGATAGATCTTGACCTGATGAACATTTTTACCCCATGTGAGATTTGCTCTAAATGCTTTAGTTTCAGAGATATAAGCCAAAATCTGCATTTTACCCCATGTTCTAGTTTTAGCCATGGTGGCCATCTTGGCTGATGGGTGGAGTCTTCGGATACATTTTTTAAACTAAATACCCTAAGGATGATTTAGGCCAAGTTTGGTTTTATTTGGCCCTGTATTTTTAGAGGAGAAGATTTTTGTAAAAGTTAACGGATGACTACGGAAGACGACAGGACGATGGACGACAGCCGCAATGTGATGAGAAAAGCTCACTTGGCCCTTTTGGAGCAGGTGAGCTAAAATGAAATTAAGTAGTAAGGCACTTTCAAGTTTCTTTTATAGGAAATTCAGAAAATACATGTGACCTACTTTGTGGTGCCAAGCATATGCATATCTTTTAACTGATTGTCTGATTATATTATATGTACATACATTTCTGGTAAAACAGAATATTAGTTTTCATAAATACAGCTTTTTAGAGTGCATTCAATTTAAATTCAGGTCAATAAATTGGTCTTTTTGTTTACAGCAGTCATCATAAGACATGTCTACCTTTGTTGTAGCAATCATTCATAGCACGCAGCACAAGTATGTCAACCGTAATTATTTCCGTCTTCTCACAGCCCATTTGTAGATTTACGGGATAACAAGTTTCAGTGGGATAATCAACCGCAAAATCAAAATATAACAGAAGTTCCCAACTATGTGACATTTCTCAAATATATGAGTTAGATACCTTGTGTTATATTAAAGTATATAGTTTTTTTTCAGAGACAAGTGCCTGTGATTTAAGGGTAATAAGTACCACAATAAAATTAAAAGCTACCAAATTTTTTGCACAAGATGTGCATTTGGACAAATGATGTTTCATCAATGATGGCTGAGGCCAAAGTATTTGAAAATTTAAAACCTAATACAAACACTGAAGAGCTCATATAAAATTGAAAAACACAAAAAAGTACAGCATATAACCTTGACAAGGAATCAGTCAGTCTCTTTTAAAAGGAGCCAATTGAAGATTAAAATCATATTGGTATTTTTGTAGATCCTGTCTTGTTAATCATTTATACTGTTTACAGTTTCTGTTATTTATAGTATAAAACTTTTCAAGATAATACTCATATAAGGTCAACATTGGTCAGAAATTGTGATTGAAGAGTAATTCCACATAAAAAAAAATTTCAATCAATAGATAATTAAACTTATATTCTTAATCATTTTGCATTTAACAGTTTATAATAGGTAAACACTATAACATGTGTTAAAGAAAGTTACTTAAAGGTCCTATCTCCAATAAAGGGTCAGAATATCTGTTGTTTCTTCATATAAACCACTAAATCCTTGCCAGGAGAGCCTTTGAACACAGTAACTTTGTCAACTGTAAAGGTCATGAGATGGCTTGAAGGTTATCTATTCTTTTACATTCTACACAAACTTACCTCTAATGCAAATACTCTGTCTGTTTGTGATCTTGATGAACAGGCATCTGCTACTATATGCACTTCATAATTTTTATTCAGTAGATCAATCACAGTTTGTTGGATACATACATGAGTCTACAATATGGTCAGAAAATAAAATAAGATAAAAATGTAAAATTAAGATTTTTTTATTTTTAGTAAATATATATAATATAGAAAGAATAAATAATAAAATGCTCCGCTGGGCACAGCTTGATACGACCGCAGAGGTCGAACCCTGAACAGTTGGGGCAAGTATGGACACAACATTCAAGCTTGATACAGCACTGAATTTGGATTGTGATTAAATATTTGACACAGCATAGGTTTCTGACACAGAATGAATGTGGTCTAAGAACTTAAAAAATTTTAATTTACCTATTCAAACCATATCATTGTTATTTACTTTTATATATAAATCAGAAATAACCAATTTAAAACGGAAAATTTTAAAGAAAAAAAAAGGAAAATAAATGTGGACACAGATGATGCCCCCGCTTGCATATCATATAGTTATAAAGGGACATAACTGAAGAACGGTAAAAGTGACGCTACCCAAATTTGAACTTGATCTGAGTTTTGTGGTAATAAGCATTGTCATTTGTTTGTAAGTCTCATAACATTTGGTTGAGGCTAATTTAAGTAGAGAACAGAAACTAAAAATTCAGCAATTTTTCTATTTGTAAAAAACATAACTCTAGAACGGTTGTGTATAAGTTTTATAACATTTTGTTGAGACAAACTAAAGTAAGAGAACGGAAACGAAAAATTTTGCAATCTTTCAATTTATAAAGGGGCATAACTCAATAATGGTTAAAGTGACACTACTCAAATTCAACTTGATCTGTGTTTTATAAGTGGAAGTCAAAATTAAACATTGCATTGTATAAAGCATTGATTGTAGTTGATTCAACTATAATCATGGACAAAGGAAGATAACTCCAATTTTAAAAATTACTTGATATTTAGAAGAAAATAAAAATTTTGCAATTTTTCCATTTATAAAGGAGCAAAACTCTAGAACAGTTAAAGTGACGCCACCAAAATTCAAACTTGATGATTTTGTGGTAATAAGCATTGTGTATAAGTTTTATAACATTTGGTTGAGGTAAACTCAAGTTAGACAAAGGAAACCAATTTTGGGACGTACGTTCGTTTGTACATATGTACGTACGTATGACAGACGGACAAGGGTAAAACTTAATGCCCCCTCCACTACGGCGGGGGCATAAAAAAAATCTCTCTTCCAAATTTTTTGAACCCCCTTATGATTCATCACCCCCCAAACTCAATCCCAACCTTCCCTTTGTGGTATGGTACCTTGCAGTACAATTTCAGAGAGATCCATACACTTGAACATGAGTTATTGTCTGGAAACTAGAAAAATGCTTGTTTTTAGGCCCTTTTTTGGCCCCAAATTCCTAAATGTTTAGGGCAATTACCCCCAAACTCAAACCCAGCTTTCCCTTTGTGATATGGAACCTTGTAGTACAATTTCAGAAAGATCCATACACTTACACACAAGTTATTATCATGTAACTAGAAAAATGCTTGTTTTTTCCCCTTTTTTGGCCCCTAATTCCTATAATTTTGAGGCAATTACCCCCAAAATCAATCCCAGCATTTCCTTTGTGATATGGAACCTTGTGGTACAATGTCAGAGAGATCCATACACTAACACACAAGTTATGTCTGGAAGTTACAAAAATGCTTATTTTTGGCCCCTTTTGGCCCCTAATTCCTTAACTGTTGGTAACAAAACCCCCAAAATCAATCCCAACCTTCCTTTTGTGGTATTGAACCTTATGGTAAAATTTCATAGAGATCCATTCACTTTAATTAAAATTAGAGTGCGAAAACCAATGTGTCTTCGGACGACGATGACGCCAACGTCATACCAATATACAACCGCAAAATTTTTTTGCGGTCGTATAAAAATTGGAAACATTTTTTAAAGTTTTATAAAATATGGAAACAAAACTTTATTATTTTCATGCATCCAAAGTGCTTTTCTGGATGTACCCTCATCAGGAATGTTCAAAGCAGAATATTTGAAAGCCAAGGATGTATAACAACCGAAAGAGTTGAAAGAGCTATATGACCAAAAAGGGCCCCCCAAAAAAAGCCAAATCCATCTATAAGTATGATCACAAACCAAAACTGAGCTCTTTAGAGACAGATATGTGATTTTCACTGGCCTAGGAGTTTCAGCATGAAGATACTTAAATGGCTACCAGTTTTGCTATCTAGTCAGTGGAAAATAGAGAATCTATACAATTGCTTTCTCAATGGTAATAAATTTCAAATGAATTAACAAAAAACAGTATACAAAAATCTCTCAAGTATGATATCCAATTTAATGAGAAAATGTGTTCATTTTCTTCACACATCATTAAAACAAATTTCAAATTATCTCCCCTGTTTCTCTACTGTGAATATTTGATTCTTTTCTTTTCCTGAATTTTATTTAATAACTGACAATACATGAATATTAATCATTTTGACAATGCCATAATATCCCTAAAGAATATCTATGTGCAGTTTATTCTTAGAAATAATATATTTCTTAATTTAGAAAATAAATTGTCTGGTATTGACTCTCAGAGGAATTTAGAATTATAGAAAAACAAACTCATTAAGATTACATTATGCATGACAAATAAATCAAAATGCCAATAACATTTGACATGCTTGAAGGCAATACTAATTTTAGTGTAAATTCTTCAAAAAAAAAACTTTTGAAATGATTAATAGTCACTTGAAGTGATGGAAAGTAACTTATGAAAAACGAAGTTATTAGACTGTTACCTCAATACCAAATAGTACAATATGTTTAACATTGTTAGAACATAAGTTCTCTAGTTGTTTCTCTACATCTGGTACAACCATACTAAACTTGGTTTTGGCAAATGTTCCTGCAGCATGTGAAATATCTAATTCTGATACAGTGTTCCCTAGTCCTTTTGGATACTGAAATGTAATTAATAATTAAAAATTAGACTTATTTTTAATTATTAGACTGAATTAAGTTGTCTCTTCCACTGATATAAGATGTTTGCTGATAAAATTCGAAATAATAACCATGACAACTGTCATTTTCAAATGACTGATTGTTGGTGTTTAATGCCACTTTGAGCCTTTCTTGGCTATATCGTAGTGTCCAGTTTTTATAATGGAGAAAGCTGGTGTACCCAAAAAGAACAGTCAACCTTCAAGAAGAAATCTGGCAGTCATACTCAATCAAGATTAGAGTTGAAAACACATATAACAGGCTATTATTTGAACTTGGAATTATTTTAAATTATGGAATTTGCATTATTTCTTGTGCTTGAAATTTTTTATGAATTCCATGTTTATTCTGTATTATAATGTTCTGTGCTGCGCACAACACATTCTATTACAAAGAAGATAGCACATTTTCAATAGAATGTACTGTGCCGCGCACAACACTATCTATACAAAATACATTGTGTGGAAAGTGTTATGCACCGCTCAAAACATAATAATACTTAATAAACATGGAATTTATCAAAAATTTCAAATACATGAAATTATGCAAATTCCATAATTAAAAATAATTCCAAGTTCAAATAATAGCCTGTTATATGTCATAGCAGAGTTTGAACTTTTGACCTCAGTGTTGATAGGCCAGTGATCACTATAGGTAAACTACTATGACCATTAATCATGTTAATACATGTCTAAATCATGTTAATACATGTCTAAATCATGTTAATACTTGTCTAAATCATGTTAATACTTGTCTGAATCATGTTAATACTTGTCTAAATCATGTTAATGCTTGTCTAAATCATGTTTATACTTGTCTAAATCATGTTAATACTTGTCTAAATCATGTTTATATCACCAAAAAAACAAAAAGTATCTATAAACATTATACAAAAAATATAAGAAGAATGTGTCTGAGGATGCGTATACCCCCGCTCAAGCTTTGCAACAAAAATGGGATGATCAGACAGACGGAAAGACAGAAAGATGGAAGGACAGAAAGACGGAAAGACAGGAAGAACAGACTGTCATTAAGGTAACGCGTAATGCCCCCTTCACCTACACGTGATAGGGGGCATTACGCGTTACCCTAAAAAATTCCTATATATCTACATTATCTGAATTAAAGCAAGCAACAATCAGTAGATAAAAATTTACATTTAATTTTCGACATGTATGATTTTTTGTATGTATTTATTTTTTTATAAATCTGTTTTTTGTTTTTTGTACTTTATTTCAAATTACATGTATTATGTTTTATTACTTTGTTATTATTAAACTATTCCCATAACAATATAATAAACTTTTGCTAAATTCAAAGTATTTTCAAATAGCAATATATTTAACTTTTGCTAAATTCAAAGTATTTTCAACATTGTTCAAATAGCAATATATTTAACTTTTGCTTAGTTCAGACAAGGATTTGTATAGTATTTGTCTAACTATAAAAATCCTTGGTTCAGAGTATTTTCGCATAAATAAATTATATATTAAAAGTTTGCAAAGGTCAGAGTATTTCCCCCATAACAATATATTTAACTTTTGCTAAGTGCAGAGTATTTTCCCAAAACAATATATTAAATGTTTGCAAAGTTCAGAGTATTATCCCATAACAATATACCTGGTATTTAACTTTTGCTAAGTTCAGGGTCTTTCCCAAAAACAATATGCATGTTTGAACTTTTGCAAAGTTCAGAGTATATTCCCATATCAATATATTAAACTTTTGCTGCGTTCAGAGTATTTCCCCCATAAATAAATGTTTTGCTAAGTTCAGAGTATTTTCCCATAACAATATACAATCTATCATATATTACCTGTTCAGTCACTATCAATGGAATATTCAAGAGCTTTGAAGCTTGTACCTGAAGGTAAAAGTAAAACGTTAAAAAAAGTAACACATGTAACATTTTAGTTTGAGTTTCAAAATTTGCACATTTTATATGCATAATAATTGTAACATGTACAGTACACAACAAATCATCAGATAATATCAAACTTTCATAGCCAACTATACAGCATGGGTTTTTCTCATTGTTGAAGGCCATACGGTTGACTATAATTGCTTACATTCACTTCATTTGAACTTTGGTGGATAGTTGTCTCATTGGCAATCATACCACATCTCCGTATTTTTATATTTACTGTATTTTTAGCTGATGTTCACCCAGCCAATCTGTATATGGTCTTGACAAATCCATTCAATACACAATAGTCTTTGACGATATTGTTTGTTTCGTATTTTGTTATAATGTGTTATTTGTAAGTTACTTTTTTGCTGAATGATAGCCAATCAAGTTTATTTACTGCAGTATCATGATTATGGTCTGGACTAACAGCCAAATGCATCTGATGCAGTATTTAATTACAATAACTGTAGTATTAGAACAGAGTTCAAATGTACCCTTCCAATGAAAATATTTTATCTGTTCAAGGGTAATAACTCAAATATTTGTTTTTTGTTAACTTTTTAATAAATAAGGCGTGAGACAGATTGCAATGCAATTTTTCATATCATTAACATTTAAAAGAGACATATTTCCTGAAAAAATAGTTAATTGGTACTAATTTTTGAAATTATACAAGAATTGCTGATAAAAAGTTCTAATCTGACAAGGAATGTAGACTACAGAACACTCACAAATCTGCAATTTTCCATAGAATTTACATTTCAAAGGAACATAACTCCTGTAAAAAACTATTGCTGATATAAACCCTCATGTATAAAAATTTTTTAAACTACAAGAAATATAGGAGTGAGAGCACTTACAATACAATTTTTTATATAAATTTCTATTTCGAAGGGGCAAAACTCCTTAAAGACAAGTTAATAGGCACTTATTTTTTAACTTGTCCAAGACATTGCTGATAAGAACCTTTTATATAAAACATCAGGAAACTAGACATCATTGAGATGGGAGCTATCTCTGTGGGCTCACTGACCTTGAACTTTGACCTAGGAAGTTGTACAAACATTATGACACACCCTCTGGTGTTGGTTAATATACATGTCAAGTATAAAGTATGAAATTATAACGGTTCTCTAGATATAGAGCGGACACAATTTGTTACGGACGGACAGACTGATCACTATAGGGCGACCCACCACTAGGCAGGGCCCTAATAAATTGAGGAAGGGGTATGAAAACACTAGGGACTTTATTTGTAGACAACGAAAATCAAAGGACGATAACTGTGTTCCCAAATCTTAAATTCAAATGAAAAATACTTTCATCAAAATTTCATCAAGCAAATCTTTCAAAAGTAAACAGTAATTGGACTGAACACTGCTTAAGACAATTTTGAAAAAAAAGTTCTTTTTCTATCTACCGGGGGTAAAACTCAGTTCATATCTTTCAGTTTACAGGTTTCTATAGCTTCCTAATTCTTAATGCATTCTACCAGATACTCCATTTGATTGTTATTTTCATAGTTTTCAGGGGTTGTATAGGTCAGTAAAGTAGTCAGGACATTAAGGTGGATCATTGGTATATATTTCCTCAAATAGAATTTTCTTATACTTTGCCAGAATGTAGATTTTCCCATGCTTTTTTCAAAAATATAATAAAAAGTATGGAACACCATGCTATTTTTCAAGCTACAACTCATGCAAAATTGCCCAAATTTGCATAGAGTGTTCATGAAAAAAGCACTTTTTTGTGAATAAAAAGAAATCTATGAGACAGAATTTTAAAATAAAATATATGAAGATAGGTTTAAAAATATGCTGTATGTAAATAAAAAGAATAAATGATGTAACCGACCTTGTTTTCTTGTTACAAGTAAAAATTGAAAATTTCTCCATCAATCCTTTATAAAAATTTTACTATTTGAGTTATTTCCCCTTAAATGGCTAAGTTGACAATTTGATTGGAACAAACACAAACATTTGACATTTGATAATTCAGTCTGTATAATGCAATAAATCACTTATTTTTCTTTATTCCACATGTTCCAATAAACAGTTTAACCCATTAACTGCCAATCTGTCTCAAAATTTGCAGATTTAAGCAAAGAATTAAACCTATTGAGAACTACTATTTTACAAACGAAGATGACGGTATACAGTTAATCTACCTTAATCCCCTTAATCACATGAATCAGGGATAGGCTAAATCAATCACACAGATTCCACTTAACACATAATTTTTTCATTCAATTTCAATATTTTCAAGGTTTCCCTTTATAAGCCTTTAACTATTTCTAAATAGCCAAAAGGGCCCAAAGCCCTGACAGGTAAGGCAAAGGGTTGAAGGGGGATGCAAATTCAAGCATTCTGTTGCATGGTGTTTGATTTAACAAAATGTAGTCTTTAATAAAGTGCCATTTATTTTGTATTGAAATAGATATGAAATATCAGAATGTTTTGTAGTTTATTAAATGAACTCTAGAGATGTCATGGATGTATTTTATTATTGTCTTCTATTCAATAAATGAGTGTGTACTGGAACTCATTATTACACTGTCAAACATTTTCTTTTCAGTATTCTGTGTGTTTTTTCATCTTTGAGGTCATAAAGGTAATTGTTTCTTAATTTGGTTCTCAGGATTTAATCTTGCATCAAAACAATCTGATCCTTCACATAATTTTAAAAAGTTCACATCATATATTTGGGAGCATAAATGGCAAAAGGGTAAATTTGGTCTAAAGTAGGGTAGCACTATCATAATCATGCTAAAAAAGCTTCAACACCATGGCAGGAATCTTCTTTCCTGTTTTTTTTTCTTTATTTAGGATTTTTCATAAAACATCATTAACATGATGAAGAAGCATACGATTTCCTGCAAATCTATAAATCTCATTACTAAAAAGTATAACGATAGGTAAAAAGAAACAATTAGCACCAATAACCTTTAGGGGCTCATCATTCAGCATCTGCCTCACATATTACATGATTAATGAGTAACTTTCATGTTGATTTGAACACCATGAACACAGCTTCATGTTAACTTAATCTTACCAAAAAAATTTAACCTGATTAGGGACGGACCAACAAACAAACTAACCTACATGACCTAGACCTAGGTCATGTAGGTGGGGCATAAAAATGAAACTGTCAAGTCAGTATTTTTATATTTTTAATTCTTCTGTTTGAAAAGAAGGATTTAAGGTTTGAATGCATGATTTAGCTTACTCTCAAATCAGTGCAAAGCATTGATAATACAATAAATTTTATGAGTGAACTCTTGTGGGCTTTTGTGTTTTCGTTGTTTTCATAGAACTCTGGTCATCTGGTCCTGTCCATAAACTGTAGTGTAGATATGTTTTAGTGTTGTTTAATAATGTTCATCAGAAAAAATCCCTTATATTTTTTAAACAGGCGAAGTTGAGTTGTGATTGTGACCTGTATAAAGTGGATTACTTTGCTACAAAAATGTACATCACTGACACTGGTGGTCTTATGTGCGCTTGATAGAGGAGGAAACTACATGTAACCTTAATATCATATATCTTGCTTCTTTTGAAATACTTACAAGTCTTGAGGCTACTTCTGTAATTTCTGGAAAATATTTAATAGCATTACGAAATCGTTCTTGCATGTCACATAAGAAAAATACAGTTTTATCGGCACAAAGATTCCCAAGGCGTCGTGTTGCCATTTTGTACGAATTCGTAGTCACATGACCAGGATACATCTAAAACTGTTTGGAAATTTAAAAATGATACGTATCACAAAGGGCGAAAATGTACTAAAAAACTTGTCTTCTTGCTTAAAATCGGAGACATGATAATATATTGTATTATTTGTCTCTGTTTAGATATAGCGCTGGTTATTTAAATTGAAAACCTATATGCTTAATTCTGCACTATGCTTTAAAAGGTTATGTGTTTTACTTTTTTGATAGATAGTGCATGTGCTTTATATTAGTTTTGCCTAATGTTGTGCTCACTGTTTAAGTTTTGCTTAATTTTTAGTTGTGCAAGTTCAATTTTAGCATGTGTAGGTGTGCTTAAACTTTTATAGTAGTGTTTATATGTAATGCAATAATCCTGTGGTGTATCTGTTTAACTTGATAACCGTCCTCTTATCTGTTTGCTCTCTGTCTTTATATGTTAAATAATGTTTATGTTATTTATATTCGGTAAAAAGCTCTCAAGATCGTTATACTTTAACCGAATCAAAATAAAACTTTCGTATACGTATTATTCACTGAAAAACGAAAAAGAATTACAAAAAGCCATGATATGATTTTCTTGTTAACAACACGTGTTTCTGGGTACACTTGTGATCAAAGGCCAAGTTTGAAAATCTCAAATTCATAAAACATGTAAATAACATTGTATTAAAGAATTATTATTCCATGAAAGGTCGGATTTTTACGAAAGCCTATTAGGGTCACAAAAAAAAATAATATTTATCTCGTAATTACGAGATAAATATCTCGTAATTACGAGATAATTATCGCGTAATTACGAGAAAACTATCGCGTAATTACGAGATAGTCATTTTTTATCTCGTAATTACGAGATAATTATCGCGTAATTACGAGATAACTATCGCGTAATTACGAGAAAACTATCTCGTAATTACGAGAAAACTATCTCGTAATTACGAGATAAAATTATATATAGATTTACAGATCATAATTACCCTTCCGGGACACCTGATAAAACGCCCGTTTTTATTAGCTCAACTGACCCAAAGGGTCAAGTGATCTTTTCCCATCACATGGCGTCCGTCGTCCGTCGTCGTCCGTTAACTTTTACAAAAATCTTCTCCTCTGAAACCACTTGGCCAAATTGAACCAAACTTGGCCTTAATCATCTTAGGGTTTCTAGTTTAAAAAAAATGTATCCAAAGACCCCGCCCACCAACCAAGATAGCCACCATGGCTAAAAACCGAACATGGGGGGGGGGGGGGGGGTAAAATGTAGTTTATGGTTTATATTAATGAAACTAAAGCATTTAGAGCAAATATGACAGGGTAAAAATTTTCAGACGAATCAGACTTCCCGTTGTTGGAATGCTGCCCCTGAATTGGTAATTTTAATGATTATTTTTCAGTTTTTGGTTATTATCTTGAATATTATAATAGAAAGATATAAACTGTAGGAGCAAAAATGCTTAGCCAAGTAAGATCTACAAATAAGTCAAAAGACCTAAATTGTCAATTGACCACTTAAGGAGTTATTGCCATTTAAAGTCATTTCTGCAATTAAGTAAATTTTTTTAACCTTTTACAAAAATCTTCCTCCTCTTAATCTACTTGGCCAAATGAATTTTTATCTCGTAATTACGAGATAGTTTACTCGTAATTACGCGATAATTATCTCGTAATTACGCGATAGTTATCTCGTAATTACGAGATAAAAAGACTTCTTATCTCGTAATTACGCGATAGTTTTCTCGTAATTACGCGATAATTATCTCGTATTTACGCGATAGTTATCTCGTAATTACGAGATAAAAAAACTTCTTATCTCGTAATTACGCGATAGTTTTCTCGTAATTACGCGATAATTATCTCGTATTTACGCGATAGTTATCTCGTAATTATGAGATAATTATCTCGTAATTACGAGATAAAAAACTTCTTATCTCGTAATTACGCGATAGTTTTCTCGTAATTACGCGATAATTATCTCGTAATTACGAGATAAGTATATCGTAATTACGAGATAAAACTATGCTTATCTCGTAATTACGAGATAAAAATCTTATCTCGTAATTACGCGATAATTATCTCGTAATTACGCGATAGTTTCTCGTAATTACGAGATATTTATCTCGTAATTACGAGATAAATATTTTTTTTTTGTGACCCTAATAGGCTTTCGTAGATTTTCGTCAAGATTTATAGTAAAAATAAAAACAACACATATAGGAAGGGTAAAGAAAAACCCGGAAAGTTTGTGGTTCAAAAATCATGATGGCATCGTTTTAAAGTATATATACTATATATGATATTGAATCTGAGGCTACTATTGAACATGCGTGTTATAGTACGTAGTCTCATTGTGAACTGACTTATTTAAAGAATTGCTATTTTTTTTTCTGTCAAATGCGACAGTTTTTTCAAAGATGGTCTTGATTTCAAAAGTTGAAATAAAAAGAAAAGTTTGAAATACATTCACGGGAAATTGGTCCTTCCTCTTTCATTATTTTATATGGATTATATATATGTAGTAAGATCAATTATGCATATGGTAAAAGAAAAACCTAAGCCGGATGATGATTTCAAATAATATTTGAGGCCGGTTCCCTCGTGAAAACATTTAGTTTACACTGAATACTTTTTGTAATCAGGAAAAAAAGACCACACAAGTGGACAGAGAGCATGGTTCTTGTTTTCTTGTTGCGTATCAAAATTGGTAATTACCCGTCAGTGCAAGACAATTACCAAAATAAGTTACTTCCTCCAACCATTCAAATTCTTTAACTCATTTTAGATATATCATTCAGTTATTTCTTTGGTTTTGGTAACAAAATTTACTGTAAGATATTCTAATGTTATCATTGTTATGTTAATGAAAATTTAAGCTTATACATTACATTTCTAGATCTGTATATTAACCGGTTCACGGTTTACTATTGTAGTAAAAATCTAAACCATAATTTTTGGTATCCAACAGATGGCTTTGATAATTCGATACACCTATATATATAACCTGTTAGTATAAATGAATTTTAATGTACAGATTCAATGCTAAATGACTCTTACACATGAGGGACAACAGTTGCTGTGATAATACTATATATGACTAAAGCATATAAAAAATATGCAAATTTATACCACATCACCATATTTTTAATGCCAAATGAGACAACTATCCACCAGAAACCAAGGATCGAGGATGTGAACAACTATATATATGCTAGATTTAAATGCTAAAAAAATATGACACGCAACAACCAACCGCAGCCCCTGAATTACAGACTCCTGCCACGGAAAAGATGCACATATGCACATCCTTGAAAGAAGGTTTTAGCATGCTTGTTTATTTGCTGCAACTCATAAAGCATTCTTCTGTAATGAAAAAGGAAAATATGCTAGACATACTTACTCACGGGAACTGTGATGAGATGATTAAAGCTATAAATTGTCTCCTTTACAACATCTTTGTACTTTTCGGCAGCACAGTTTATCGACAGGCTGTATAGGCATTCCTATGTGTATCAATTACACCCTTTAATAACAGACTTGTTCCTGTATTGTTATGAACCACCGTTTATGGCCAAACTTAGTAAAGATTCGTCTAAATTTACATTTAACTGTTAAATTCAAAAACACTTACCGTAACTTAGATGATATGTTTGCTTTAAACATTCAGGAATCAACAATTTTTACTGCGAAAATTTACTCAAAGGAATTCACTTTAAATAAATCTAATACAGACAGCAATAATTGTCCTTTTCCAGATTTGGATATGACAGTTTTGCACGGGAAACTCTTTAAACAATTTTATGACAAAAGAGACCATTTTCGTTCCCAATTGCTCATTTTATCCTTTTTGGACGGTGATGTACGTTTTATTGGCACCTTCGTGCGGTGTACAAATTTTACAACATAATTAAGTCATTGATTTCGTTTTTGAAAAAGTTAAACCTAGATAAACATATGTACAATTATATGAAAACTCGTCATCCCATACATACTGCATGTCGATACAGTTTACTTATATTTTGACATCGCACAAGGTCACATGCGTTTCTCAGACTGTTTATGACGTCTTTACACTACATCCTACATCCGTTGGATGTGCACTGATTGCAACTTTAGTCTGAAAGAACAGTAACTTCGAGTATATTGGTTAGATGTTTTTGTGCTTTGTGCCGATCTATTAAAATAAACCAATTGCATTTGATTTTTACAGTTTGTTCTTATGTTGTACTGTTACACCTCTCGCCCGGGTTGGGGTGGGATTGGGGGGGGAAGGGGGGGGGGGTGAGCGCTCACAAACATGTTTAACCCCACCACATTCTTTATGTACCTGTCCCATTTCATTAGTCTATTGTTCAGCACATGGTTGTCATTGTCTGTCAAATTTATTTTTCGTAAATTGTTTTGTTATAATTTAGGCCGTTACTTTTCTCGTTTGAATTCCCATTTTGCATGTCGTGGCCTTCAAAAGACGACTATACACTATAGGTTTTCTCGTTTTTGAAGGCCGTATAGTGACCTAGATAGTTTCTTATGTCTACTTCATTTAAACTCTGCTGGATAGTTCTCTCACTGGCAATCATACTACATCTCCTTATTTTTATATTGTGAGCGTTCCATCCTCCTTTAATCTGAGAATCCCCCACTATGGTGTTATAGCTCACCAGTAGAAAAACAAACTATAAAATTTAATTTGTTTGCTACGATTTAATTTGAAACATCCTAACGTTTCTTTTTTTTTTTTTTTGCTTGGTTGTTTTAAAGTGATGTTTGGCATCCTATAAGAGAATATCACGACGACGTTTGTTGTCACATAAAAAAATTATTCTTCATATAGTCACATATACATTCGCTAATAAATTTTAAGTTACTGCCGATTGAGAATATGTGTGCAATCATGATATATATGTGTCAACCGGCATGCATGATTCATATGAAATGCACCGCGGATCTATGATGAATCTATATGATCGCTATAATACTCAATGACTTTTTCTCTCATTGAAAAATATAAAAGATGGATGTCATGGTAACATTATGGAAAAAAAGAACTGTTCTAACATTATGAAATTAGCTTCAAAACAAATATCAATTGATTTATATAGATTTATACCAAAATTCAATTATTTTATGTCTTTAAACTCGTTATTTCAACAGCACGATGGTTATAAACAATAGCTATCATCAAGTTCTTACATTCAGATTATTCAGTTTAATACCCTGTTATATAGGTTATCATTTACCAAAACTACAAAGGAATTATCAATTGACACATACAAAATGGTTATTCAGTGTTAAATTTCATAGCTTTATTAGTATTAAAAGAAAATTGGTGGTAGCCATAGCACTGAATCGTTAAGAAATTTCAAGGTTTTATTACACTGTGGAGGATAATTGTTATTGCGAAACATAATACACCTTTTAAATTAACCAAATGATACAAAGTGCAACGTGACTCAGTGACTTCTATATCAATGTCATTACAAACATATTGCAGACGTCCCCATTACCTTTTAATAAAAATGTGATAAAAATTATATATCTAGGCACGATTACATTGCGCAATTTTAAACCTCTAGCATTGCATCATTGTAAACGGCAGCATATCATCACCGATATTTATTTCGAAACAGTCTTCTTCTTCTTTAAGTTTCTAGCGATCCTTCAATTACTGAAGATTATTCGCCGGGCGTCGACTATAAAATTTTATAATTTACATTGTAGCAAGAAAAATAAAAAGAAACAAAATCAAAAAATCAAAATAATGTATGTGCATTTGTAAAATTTCATTTAGATAAAACTATATACATTTGATAACAAAATAGTTAGGGATAGAAAATGGGGATGAGAGCAGATTCTGAGATCATACTCTTGAATCCCTGTACTGTACTGCATGATACTATTTGTTGTGGCAGAAGATTCCAATCTATAACTGTTCGTGGATAAAATGAATATTTATAACTGTCTTTAGATGTTTGTATTTGCCTAAATGAGTGTGGATTGCTATGTCTAGTTCTATTGTCTAGTGGGATCAAAAGGTTATATGTAGGGACTGCAACAATTTCATGTATAATTTTGTAGAAGAAGACAAGTCTGTATCGTAAACGCCTAATTTCAAGTGGGTACCAATTTAAGTCTGTCATCATTTCAGTAACTGAGCTGGTGTTATAGAAGCGGTTGCATGAGAAGCGCGCTGCTCTTCTCTGAACTTTTTCAATTTGTGAAATTTGCTGTTTTTGATGTGGATCCCAAATAGTTGAGCAGTACTCTAGTTTTGGTCGGACAAGAGCTTTAAATGCATGTGCTTTAACTTTAGGTGAGGCTATTTTAAGGTTTCTACGAATAAATCCAAGAGACTGATTTGCTTTTGATGTCATGTTATTGATATGTTTGTCCCATTTTAAATTTGATTGAAGAGTTAGGCCTAAATATTTTGTAGAGTCAACTTTTTCTAGAGAGTGATTGTGTAATTTATAAGTGAAGTCTAAAGGTTTGCGTTTTTGAGTTACACTGAGAATGTTGCACTTATCAGGGTGAAAATGCATGAGCCAGTCCTGCTCCCATCTGCCGGCCGCTTCCAAGTCAGACTGTAATTTATATGTGTCATCTGGTTTTTTAATTTCCCTATAAATAATACTGTCATCTGCGAACAATCTTAATGTACTATGTTCAATATATTCTGCCAAATCATTTATAAATATTCAGAATAAAATTGGACCAAGCACTGTGCCTTGAGGTACCCCAGATGTTACAGGAATTTTATTTGATGTTTCACCTTCAAGGACTACTGTTTGTGTTCTGTTTGTTAAAAAATCTTGAATCCAATGTAATGCATTGCAATTTATACCGTAGAAACCGATTTTATACATGAGATGGTGGTGTGAAACTTTATCAAATGCTTTTGCAAAATCCATTATTATGATGTCTGTTTGAATGTTTTTATTATTTGAATTTGCAAGATCTTGAATAAATGATATTAGCTGAGTTTCACAGGAGCGAGATGATCGAAAACCATGTTGTAAGTCATATAGAATTTTATTTTTTTCCAGATGTTTCATTATATTACTAGCTACAACATGTTCTAATAGTTTGCAGCAGATGCAAGTCAATGATATGGGGCGATAGTTTATAGGGTCGTGTTTGTCGCCTTTTTTGAATGCTGGACATACACTTGCGTGACGCCAGTCATCTGGGATCTTTCCAGATTTCAGTGATGTTTGGAATATGATTGACAAGATGGGAGTGATAGATGTCTTACACTCTTTTAAAATTTTTCCATGGATGAGATCAGGCCCAGCTGCTTTGTTGATATTGATGTTATTTAGAAGTTTTTCTATGCCCTGTTTTTGTATTTTAATATCAGGCATCTGTGGATGTTTACTGACGCCCTTATCTGGTATTGGATCATCTGTTACAGGTGTGAATGCTTTTTTGAACTGCTCATTTAAAATATTAGCTTTTGCTTTTGAATCAGATGTAAGTGAGCCCTCTTTTCGGAGTGGTGGTATGTTAGAGCTTTCAGACTTTTGTGTTTTTATATAACTGAACAGATTTTTGGGGAAGCTCTTTGATATAGTAGTAGGGTTGTCATCAACTGGTATACCACATATCATATTTTCAATATAATTCCAATAAGATGTTCTTTGTTGTTTCTGTATTTCATGTTTTAATTTTTTGAGTTGGTCTTGTTTCCCTTTGCCTTTCAATTTGTACTTTTGATATTTTTTCTTGTACTTTTTTATTTGTCTTCTAAGACTGTCTGTTATCCAAGGTAGAATTTTGCTGTTTCTCATCATTTTCTGTGGTATGTTCTCAGAGATAGTGTTTTGTAATGAGTTTTTAAATATTAACCAAAGTGTATTTGTATCTTCACTATCCTTTTTATGCATGATCTTTTGATATGTTTGATCTATATCCTCTTTTATTTTTTTGCCAGTTTGCATTTTTATATTTATAGATTTTACGTGGCTTGGTTTGGCATCTTTTTAATGATAATAAACATTCTATATATACAATATACAGTGAATTATACACTGCGGGGTCTCTAGCAAAAAGGATCATCCGGATTCAGCGGATCTCCTCAAAAAACTATACGTTGTTGTTCTATTTTTGGTAATCTATATTTTTGGGTTACTGGTAGAACCAAACAAAATCATTTAAACGCTTATCTTTTCTAGATCACTAAAACGCTTTTATTTTTGAAAGTGAAAGTAGAAAGGGTAATCGAAAGTATGGCTGACAACGAACACGAATTTGCGAAGAACCCAGAATTACCATTATCTAAAGAAAAATGCGTATACACAAAGTGTTATTGGTACTTAACAATAATATTTTTATGCGAAGGGAAAAAATGTTTACTTTCCGATCACCTTCCATGTTCTACTTTGTAAAATAACCCTTTTGACTTATATCATGTATATACTGTGAAAATTTGACTGAAAACAAAAAAAAATCTGCATGATAAAATTGCATTTAACCTCATCAAAAGATCATACTTGCTAATCTATTTATTCCTGATAGAAATGATTCAGCGTAGGTGGTATGATAACAGTACATTATACAAAAATACATGCACAAAATTATGGCCTTTCATCTTCACAAGCAATTACTCCATATGTTCTGTCCATCAGCCAAAATAAAGGTCAATTTCATATATGTTTCAGGGTTTAGTGTGAAGTCCAATTTTGCTTAACTGGTATACATTATTGTTTAGGGGCCAGCTGAAGCCCGCCTCCTGGTGCAGGATTTTCTGGCTGTGTTGAAGACCCATTGGTGGCCTTGGGGTATTTTTTGCTCTTTGGTTGTTATGTTGTCTCTTTGACACATTCCCTGTTTCTTTCAAATTTTATCCATTTGTCATGTTTGTATACGATTACACTTTACATGACCACATCCTTGAACATGCTGAAAGGGCTAAATACCTAGGCATGACAATTTAATCAGAAATAAAATGGCACAATCACATAAACAACATATATAATAAGGCTAACAGCTACTAAGCACATTTGGTTTTCTCCGTAGGAATCTTAACCTCAGTGAAGTAACAGGCATATAAATCTTTATTCAAATCATCACTAGAATATGCCTGTTCAGTCAGGGACCCTTATTTTACTGAGGACATGAATAAGTGAGAAAAAGTACAAAGAAGGGCTGCTAGATTTGTCACTAACCGACTTAGAAACATCTCAGGTGTTAGTGACAAAGATAAATCCTCTAAAACGGAGAGAGACCTTGCACACACAAGAACAGATTCATGCCTTGTCATGTGCTATAAAAATTTCATGTCATCTGACATGTCTGATTGCCATCACAAAAACAGAGAGACTAAAACAACCAATCAGACAGTCCCGGAACATGCACACACTCTCATAGATACCAAATTCCATCTTACAGAACACAATTACACAAACAAACAATCTTTTTGTCCCTTGAACTTTTGAAACCTGGAACAGCCTTCCACTGAGCATTGTGATGAGCAACTCTGTAGAGTTGTGGAACAGCCTTCCACTGAGCATTGTGATGAGCAACTCTGTAGAGTTGTGGAACAGCCTTCCACTGAGCATTGTGATGAGCAACTCTGTAGAGTTGTGGAACAGCCTTCCACTGAGCATTGTGATGAGCGACTCTGTAGAGTTGTGGAACAGCCTTCCACTGAGCATTGTGATGAGCGACTCTGTAGAGTTGTGGAACAGCCTTCCACTGAGCATTGTGATGAGCGACTCTGTAGAGTTGTGGAACAGCCTTCCACTGAGCATTGTGATGAGCGACTCTGTAGAGTTGTGGAACAGCCTTCCACTGAGCATTGTGATGTCATGAGCGACTCTGTAGAGTTGTGGAACAGCCTTCCACTGAGTATTGTGATGAGCGACTCTGTAGAGTTGTTTAAAACATCTATCTCATCATTCTCATCTTACATCTATGATCAGTAATTTATCATATGTAAATAGTTTTATCTTTATAATATGAAAAACAAAATAAAAATATGTAAAAATCTTACAATTAGTTTTGTTCATAAATCTCAAATTAATTTTACTGTCAATCATGTCACTACCTTTCCACTAAGCCTGACATAAACTTTAACCTGTTGAAGGGGGTCATAATACAAAGTAGAATTAGAAAAATAATAACTTTATGAATAAAACTCTTTCATATCAAATAATGACTGCACATATAAGATCTAGCCAAAGCCGTCAGTAAAAATGATACCAGTGCATTTATTTTTTCAGTGAAGAAAATGTTTGGAAGGTGTGTGAATATGTGAAAGATCACCATACTGATGTACTAGATAACTGTTACTGTGTATTCATATCAAACAAAGACAAAGCGGTATGTAGTAAAATTAATTTAGTGTCCCAAAAAAATGTTGAATACAAAATTTATTTTTTTATATCTGAATGATACTGGAAAAAGTCTAACAATACAGTTTATTGTTTATTAATAGAATTAAACAGCATGCACCTGTAATGAAAATATATTAGGTAAAAAACATGCTTTTTATCCTAGTTTAACTTTTCACAGAAAAAATAACCATGATTCTCTATTATAAATACAAAATTTAAAGCATAGCAGCTACTAGATATAAGAAGATATAGTAAGATTCTTTATTTCTCAAACACCATATAGTTACAATGGTACAAAGAAATTCATCAAAAGTTATAACATAACATAAACACACATGACAAGATGAGAAGAAAAAATAAAATAAAACAAAATAACACAGTAGTGGCGAAGAGTGGTGATTAACCAGGAAGACTTGCTTGAAAAGTTATAACCCTGATAAGTTTGCACAGCTTTTTTAACTTATTTTTTAATTTTAACTGAAATAGTTTTCCAAACTTTAGTATATTACTTCTGTGCAAGAAAAAAGTATCCAAATATTGTGCTCGAAAGTTTGTCAAAGAACTACACTGCAAAATGTAATGAAATTCATCCCCAATCTCGTTACAATGACATAAATTACAATATCTGTAGTTACGTTCAATTTTATTCCATCTACCAGTTTCGATGGGTAACTTGTGGTTTCCCGTTCTAAATCTACAATACGTTATTCTATCTTTATCACTTAAAATATTCAGATATTCTTCATATTCAAATTTTTGTTTAAACAATTTGTAGGCCAAACCTTTTGATGAACAGTCAATATCTGCTCTTCATTTCTGTTGAAACTGATCAAATAACCTTTGTTTTAAACTAATACCCAACCATTTAGGATTAAAATTTCCTTGTGACAACCATATATTGCTGTATCCACATCTATCTAATGTATCTTTAACGTATTTCAACCAATCTGACCTAAATAACAAATAAGTTATCTGTAGTTGAATAACTTTCTCTGAAACCAGCTTGATTTTGGCATAATAAACAAAAATCATCAGAAAATTTATTCAATCGTGAATTCAAAATAGAAGTGAATAATTTTCCAAAGCAGCTTATAACAGTATGAGTGCCAATGAGACAACTCTCCATCCAAGTCAAAATTTATAAAAGTAAACCATTATAGGTCAAAGTACGGTCTTCAACACAGAGCCTTGGCTCACACCGAACAGCAAGCTATAAAGGGCCCCAAAAATTACTAGTGTAAAACCATTCAAACGGGAAAACCAACGGTCTAATCTATATAAAAAATGAGAAACGAGAAACACTTATGAACCACATCAACAAACGACAACTACTGAACATCAGATTCCTGACTTAGGACAGATGCAAACAATTGCAGTGGGTTTAATCGTTTTACTGCATGAATAAATGAATTATAATTTAAACAGTTAAAAAATGTAATAATGGTACTTATAATGATAAAAAAAAACAATGTTTGTATGTTTTAGAGAGCTTTGTAAACCACTTCTGATGCTAATATGTGTGAAAAATAGATTCCAAATGAAAATATTAGTAATTATAGTGCTACTGTATATATAAGTTATTACTAGTGTTCTTTTATATACTATTTACAGATACCATTATGGCAGCAGAAGTCAAGTCAAAGAGAAGATACTCTTGTGATATGGGTTAGTTGGATATTACTTTGAACCACCTTAAAAAAATGTCTTATCTAGAATTTAAATCTTATTTCATTCCTCTTTGTTGGAGTTTAAACTATACCATTCTTTAATAGGGCCTCATATGCTCGTGAAGTTCTATTTTGACGTTTTTCTGATCTTAATCTTGATCTTTTGTAAAGATCATGTTTAGTCTGTAGCTAGCCCTCAGTAATTGAGTGGTATAAGTAATTCCACTATAGGGATCACAAGCTTGTCAGCACTAATCAGGTTGTGAGTTCGAAACCCACTCATGGCATTTGGTCTGTTTGACTCAGATCTTCATTGACTAGGATTGCAAGTTATCCTGCTGAAAGTCCCGATTCCATCTAAGTACTATGGCTTCCTTCAACAAATAAAAAATCACCACCATGATGTAGCCAAGTGTGGTGAAAGTAGTGTTAGACACCAATAATCTGTTATTATCCAAGTTAAGTCAAAGGGATAGTTTAACAATTTGATAATCATTGTTAATTTTGGATAATAAGCCCCTCCCAAAAATTTCCCATTTTACATAATAAAACCCATAAATTTATCTCATCGTCATAAGAGTCAAATTCACTATAAAATTATCTCAAATTTGCTCAGCTGAATCCTTGTGAAATATATATTGCTGCTAACTAAAACACATACAGTGCAAATAAGATGATTCAGTTAAATATTTCTCTTTCTAGTGAACTTTCTCAGTGGATGCTAGTAATTGTAGGTGATTGTCCTGAAATATCTCTCTGTAAGTTCTATAGCCTGTACTTAATAACAGGATCCTATATATACACAAGATTGTTATCACCCCTTACAACCATCAACTGCCTTGGTGGTCTTGTGGTCAATGGTGGTAGCGTGCTTGCCTGAAGTGGGGGAGGTCATGGGTGCAAACCCAAGCTAGGTCAAACCAAAAACTTTAAAATTGGTATTTACTGCTTTTCCGAAATTAGCAGAGAGAGCAAAGACTGGTCAGCTCTGAGTCAGAATAATTTGTCCAGCTATATAAAGATGACATATCTTCCTGAGGACTGTTTTATTGTGATTATTATTACTAGCACGTTAAAAATCTGGCTCAGCATTTCGGTCTAATACATAGCAGGTTAATATTTCATATCACATAATCATGTTCTTGTCCTGAATATGCATTTAATCTGCCACTGGACGTTAAACAGCCATCATCTATCCATCTTTCAACCACCAGTCACCCTATTTCACAGTGAACACCAACAAGACAGTTGTCTGTTTTAATATTGCACTTATTTTTTATCATAACTTCACTTTAAATATGTTTTTTTTTAGATTGAATACTTTATTAAGAGTTTAAATACTAATGCTGTTATTTTTTTGTAGGATTACCATGTGATATTTATATATAAACAGTCTGAGAAAGAGTCATTAGTATATGACCTTGATACGTCCTTACCATTCCCATGTGACTTCAAAACATACTTTTTAGAGGGAATAAGATCTAATCAAACCTTACAACCACAATTCCATAGGTATGTACAATATAAGACAATGTAAGATATTATTAAAAATTTTGGTAAGAATACTGCATATTGCATATCTATGAGGGTCTGGATGGGGGGTCCTTCATTTCTGTATTCTTTAATTTTTTAGGCCATTTTTCTCATTCTTTATACTTTTTGCCTATTATTCTCTATGCTTTATATTTTAGCACCTCATTATTCTCTATTCTTTATTTTTTTAGCACTTCATTATTCTCTATTCTTTATTTTTTTGTCCATTTTTCTCTATTCTGTAAACACCCATCCACACCCTCATTTATATCTAGTTTTGTGGATGATATGCAAGTTCCATGATTTGTATCTCATAAACTTAATGATAACATCCTCATCATTTGATGTCTTGTGGTTAGTTGTTTTATTAACATTCATACCACATCTCCTTTTATTTATATTCATGTATTTAAAATTTTAAAATTGATTCAAAAATATACAGTAGTTATACTTACAGTCAGGGGTACTACTTGTGCAAGTTATTTTTATTTACTTGAAGAAGTAAATATTAATATACTTATATAAGTAAATTTGTAAGAAGTGTATTTTATTTACTTGTATAGGTAAATTATTTTAATGGCTAAGTTATGTCCCTTAGACATTCAGAATTTTTTACTTATACAAGTAAAAAAGTCATACTATCTTCTTTTCTTGATTTACTCAGGGCTTCTTTGCTCTAATAGAATTTTTATTTGTCTGTCCTTTGCAGATGTCTTTACTAATCATTGAAGTGTAATTTCATGGACAATGAAAATCTCAATTTGTCTGTGATCTTCTAAACACTGCTCATTTACAAGCCTCCAAGGGGCAATTTTTGAAGACCTTGCGCAATTACTTAAGATCTTTGGGCAATTAGTTTCTCTGTTGAATTAATGAGATGAAACATTGAACTCTAATAAAAAATTATGAGCTAACCAGAGAAAAATTGTTTAAGGCATGTTTTTACATCCCAAAACTTGAGAATTTTCGGGATTGTAAAAAAAAATTACTTATACAAGTAAATTTTTAGAGAAAATTAAGGGGAGATTATTCAAACTTTTAAGAAAATATGAATATAACAAACTTACTTATATAAGTATATTTTTATTTACTTCTTCAACTAAATAAAAATAACTTGTACAAGTAGTACCCCTGACTGACTTAGAGCATACTTACTGGAAACAAATTAAGAAAAGTTATGTTCTAAAACATTTTATAACAGCTATAAATGAGGGTCTGGATGGGATTACTCTAAAGACAATAATAGCCCAAGACTACAGAAAAATAGACCAACAAAAATAAAGAATAGAGAATAATGTTGTGTGTTGGTGTTTCAACATAAACAAGGTGCATTGCACTGTCATATCTGACACATAATATTTACCTATTAGGTACCTAATTGTGAAATTACTAAATTTTAAGCATGTGCTGGTCAGATATGCATTTTTTTACCTTGACCTATGATATGTTAGGACAAGTTACTTTATTATCATAAGACATTGAGTCTTGTACAATCATCCTAATGGACAATTTTCATATTACTGACTTTTGAACTATGCAGTATATAATTTTTCGACAGGTTACCTACTCTGTGGTAGGACATCCTGGTACTCAGTCAAGTAAGAGAAACCAAAAGAAGTAAAATCAAACATACAATTGGTGTAATTTGGTGGGAAAGTTTACTGTTTTCCGATGATTTTGTTGTGTATAGAAAAAATAAAACAGTTAATTTCCTCCAAAATTGTACCACTTGAAAGCTTTAAGCTGCTCTTACCTGACCAAGTACAAGTATGTCCTACCACAGAGTAGGTAGCCTGTTTAAAAAATATATAAACTCCGGAGTCAAAAGCCTGTAATAGAAAAATAGTCTATTGTTTTATAAAGTGCATTTATGTTAAGTTTTAAATTAATTTTTTTGGCAAAAAATAATAATCCACATGATTCAGTGGTAAAATCCAAATCACCTGATTCCAAAGCATATTTCCATTATAACATTTGAAGTGTGCAAGAAAAAAATTGATTCACACAGCAAGTGTGCAAGAAAAAAATTGATTCACACAGCAAGTGTGCAAGTTTTTTTCATGCATTAAATGCATTGTGAAATCATCAGGTGTGGATCCTTGAATATTTTATTACTTTTTCTCTATTTATGTGATATTTCTGTCAGAAAGGTTTAACAGAATAAACATCTTTTTTTTACCTTTAGATTTTTCCGAGTAATCTCAGCACCAATATACATGCAGACGTTTGCATCAGACAGGAGTCACATGTTAAATGAGGAAGGAAACTACCTACATCCTCCACCAACATATCAATGTATTAAAACCAAAGGTACAGTGGCTCTTTCCATTACAAATGTACAAGCGTTATGATGAAAGCTAGTTTATTGTAAATTGTAGAAAGGACATGATAAAATAGTTCGTAAATATGGCTTCTGTTGAGCAAAAAACAAAACAAAACAAAAGCTCAACAACCTTTTAATAAAAACTAAAGTAAGAATGAAATTAGATAACCATTCTGAACTCAAACTGTAAATTCAGAAATCATTGCGTGCATCTATATCATAGCTTGAATACACAATCATAATTGTCATATAAAAAAATGCACAGTGTTCAAAAACTCTAGTTTACACAAATCTCACTGTATTTCATGCATTCCAAATTTTTGATGTCACACTCGACCTTAGATGAGCCGAACCTCGGATAAGTCGAATACTTTTGTCTGGTCCCTTCAACTTCGACTTAATAATGTTCCACTGTAATGGTCAGTCCACTTCTTATAGTAGTTATTGCCCTTTAATGCCATTTTAACCCATTTGTGTTTTTCTTCTGCAGAAATTATAGTAGATTGAGAGAAACTGTAAACAGCATAAATGATCAGCAAAATAAGATCTACAAATAAGTCAATATGAATGAAATCTTTGGTCGATTCCTTATAGTTATACCTTTTAAATTATAGAAATTATTAGCTAGACAGTATCTACAAACAAGTCAACATGGCTGAAATCATCAGTTGACCAGTTGAAGGAGCTTTTGCTCTTCTTTGTCCATTTTTTCTGTAAATACTTAATATATGTAAAATCATGAAAATTGGCTTTGATATTCCTCAGAGACCTAGATGATTGCATTTGTGCTCCTTGGAGCCACTAATTAGCTGTAAGAATGTATAACATTAATTAGAAGCTCAAGTTTTAATGTTGTAATATTTTGTATTTTTTGTGTCATTGAAGGTGACGCAATTGGTAAAACAATCTTGTGCGTCCCAAAAGAGGATTATATAAAGTCATTGCAGATTTTAAATAAGTTATATGATTTTGATATTTTTTGTGTTTTTTTCTAATTTCAGAATGTGACAATAATATAAATGATTTTATTAGTATGGACCCAGATGTTGGTGTGGGAATGGTAAAACCTTTGAATGACTTTGTTTCTTTCTTTCATCATTCATAAACTACATTTCTATAAATCTGCCAAAAAATGTTGGACCTTTTATTGAGGAAAACCTTACTCACATTAACTGAAGCAGCTACTATAACTAGATGTCTTTTTTTATATACAAGTTAACATTCTAGGTACTGTAAATTCAGAATATATTGCTTGCATTTATTATTGCGATTTTTTAAAAGTGGACAAAAATGCGAGATTAACTATTGCGATTCCAGGAAAACCTGCATACAGATATATGTATCAGATATCAGAATGCAAGTTCTTATTATTGCAATACTCACTCAATCGCATTATTGCATTAATAAAGACCTCTCAATAATTTCTGAATTAACAGTATACCAAAATTTACAAGACCAACAGACATATTATTGTTTATGAACTGTACAGACCTTCTAAAATTCAAACTGACCACACGCACGATACACGCACGCACGATACACGCACAGTGAATGCACGATACACGCACGGTGAATGCACGATACACGATACACGCACGATGAGCGATGAGCGTTACACGGAGGATTAACGAAAAATGAATGATGAATGATGAACGCGCGATACACGCACGATGCACGATGAATGATGAACACACGATACACGCACGATACACGCACGGTGAATAATTCATTGACGAATGAACGATAAGCGCTTAATACACGGTTCTCAAAGCCATTTTATTTGGAATTGCATTTAAAATTGATGTATGATAATGAAAATCTATAAGGGTATACAAATTTTAGATATCTCGCTTTCTGTGTTGATTGGTGGACAGTTTTACTAAACACTCCATGTATTAAATAAATTAATTGTAGTATAGTATTTCCAATATCAATGAGTGTTGTCAAATTATAAAACTCATCGATTTTATAATTCTACTTAATATAAATAATTTATAAATTGCTACGTTTTAAAGAGTGGCGATTCCAGCCATTTTTAAAAAGAGGGTTCTCAACCCAGGATAAAAGGGGTGGTTTTAACCATATGTCCCCATTCAAATGCATTGACCCCCCCCCCCCCCCCCCCCCTTATTTTTATCTGCCTAAATTTGTAACCTTAACTAATTAATTATCATATGTTTACGTTCCGAAATTAAGGAAATGTTTGTGTGTTTCGAAGTTTAGTATGATGTCCATTATCACTCAACTAAAATTCATTTTTGTTTAGGGACCAGCTGAAAAACGCCTTCGGTGCGGGATTTTCTACCCATTGGTGGCCTTCGACTGTTTTCTGCCTGTACGTCTAAACACTGCTAAGGACTTATAATATGCCACTAAGGACTAGAAAGGACGTGTTACTTGTACTCTGTTTTCATACTATGGTAGAGATAGATAGATTTTTATTACATAAATTCCAATTTTTAAAGAAAAAGAATCACCATTAAATGAGTAGTTGAACAATATTTGGAACGTGCCGGTTTTTCCTTGATATTGCCGAAAATCAGTGATCCGACTGACATGAGCGAACTTACATAAAAACTGATTAAACAATCATAATCTCTTTTTTCTTACTTAAGTTACAATGTTCCTTATACTATCAGAATCGTATGAGTTAATTTAGAGCAAAATATATAATTTGTCAGAAAAATCTGATTCGTACAAATTAATTAGAAATAGCTAAGAAAATGAAATTTACCAAATAATGAGAAAATTTAAACATTTGTAATACCAAATACTTCATAATATACTTCTGAAACGACTTTTCGTCCTGAATATGCATGAAATTTTTGCCACTGGACGTTTAAACAACCACTGAATAATCAATCAATCAAATTTTGCTCTCAGTAAAAATGAATTAAACAATATAAGCCACAATTGTATCCATCACTTGGTGTCTGTTGTTTGTTTATACAGTAAACATACTGAATCTTTTTATATTCCTTATACAATTTCAAGTATGTAATAAAATTCATATATATTTTCAAACATCCTGGCACTTCAAATTTCTAGGAGGTGAGATTCTCGGGGTTTTACCTGAAACTCTTTGGGAAATGCAATTTTTAATTCCAATTCCAATTCCAAACTGTAAAAGATATCCCAAGGTTTTTTAAAATGCATTTCTAATTTGATAAGGAGATTTGAAAAAAAAAACGATCTCAATGGTAGTTGAAATTATTCAGTGCAATCATTTTGTGTCCGCCGTTGTCTTTCATACATATCAATTGGTGTATCCACTGTTTGCTGTTCGTTATCTGTTGTTTATGGCAGTCAGGCCTCGCGATCGGTCTCCAAATTTAAGCCCCCACTTAGGTAAATTAATGATCATTTATAGGGGGGGGGGGCTTTTTTCTCGGGACAAACATTATTTTCCTTCCTTAAGAACAACTTAACAGTTTTCTATATTTTTCATTTAATCATAAACCGATGAATATTAAATGATTTTTAAAAAATTCAAAAAAATATTTTTATTCTAATATATCTAAATATCTGGGTTATTTTCTTTTCCAAATAATTATTTTTTCATTTTTTTAAGGAAAAAGTGTTATCAGTTATGGCCCCCTCATTTTAGACATGACATTTTGCTTGATACTGTATGAAGATTATTCTTTGCAACTTTTATGAAGAAATAACCGACTTTTTTTTAACTAGATAAATATACAACAAAAATACCGTTTTTTCTTCTTGTATCAATTTCTTTTCACAAAAATTAAATATTAACAAAGAATTGTTACACAAATGTAGAGCCCAATTTTATAACGAAGATATTCCTTTTTATAACGAAGATATTCCTAATCTCTTTACCGAAATCCGCATATCTTTATCTCTTGAAACAAAAAAGTTAAGGATGTCTGTTCAAAGGACAAAAATGTCCAAGAAACCGAAATGTTATAAGTAAAATTTTTTAATGTCGAATAATTCAAACCCATTTGTCTTTTAAATTTAGCACATGAAGATATAATTTTAATTACATATACGAATTGATTTTGTAAAAATTAGCTTGTATACTGTATATGTGAAGTTTTGTAAAAAAAAAACCACTGTGGTTCTAAAACTGTATCACATGCCCATAATTGTCCTAAAGCTAAATGTCATCGTCAGATTATGAGGGTCTGAATAGGGATTCATTATTTCTGTATTCTATCATTTTAGGCATTTTTTTCTAATCGTTATACCTTTTGTCGAACATTCTTTATTCCATATATTCTAGTACCTCATCATTTTCTTTTCTATATATTTGTCTGGTTATTTTTTGTATTCTTTATTTTTTGGTCAATAATTTTCTATTCTATAAACCCCCATCCACACCCTCATGTATAATGAAAGACGATAAACATTTTAGTATACATACCACCCGTTGTCACTTTCACCTGACATACAAACCACAAATTGTTATTTTTACCTGGACATGGGACTTATATAATTACGTAATAATAATTCAGAAGAATATAACCTGTATCAACGCACTGGCTTGTAAAATGAATATTGATCTGACAACTGTTTATCATATTTTAAGTTATTTTAAAATTGAGATGATGGAAATGATGAATATGTCAAAGAGACAACAACCCGAAAAGAGCAGATGACAGCCGAAGGTACCATATTTGATAAGGTTTTAGTTTCTAATGAGACAGTAACCATCGTATTTTCAGAAAATCTCTAAACGGATAATGAGAGTTTAGCGACCTTGACTGGCTATACAGCCCAAGCACGGTCGGTCTCTAAAAGTTGCCGAATTTTAGAGCCTATATCAAGAGATAGGCTTTACCTAGCTTTAGGTGTTTAAAAAATATCCATTTAAGAACCAAATGTGGCTTCTTTATATTTATACCAAAATTGAGTTCAAGGCAGTATTTTGTCGAAGAGAACAATTACACAAAGTGCAACATGCGAGAAGAGGTTTCATTTCCCTTATTTATTTTTTATTGAAGTGAGTAATCTTTTGAGATTACTTCACGGAAATATATTTTAAATGAAAAGGTGCAACTGGATGCATCCCTAAAAACAAATTTAAATATACATATATTACCTGAAGATCTGTAAAAGCAGTGAAAGCGCTAGTAAAAGTGATGAATTGAAACCGTTATTATCTTTTATTAATTTTCTTATATGTTACCAGCATACGGATTCTACTTAACTTTTCTTTATATATATATATATATATAATTTAAATTTGTTTGTTATATATAAAATGACGGATATTCGTCAATCAGACAGCAATCAAACATAAACACGAGTAAGTTACCTGACATCTAGAATAAGAGGTTTAAGCATACCCCGCGCTGGTCAACTTTCTGAGTTGTGGGTAAAATTCAATATACATGTAGGACTGTGAAACGGGAAATATACGAAAGATTTGTTTTTACGTACGATGAAGTGTCATTCCCTCAATACATACGGGTCCACCGTGAAACTATTCTTATGATTATATAACGGTAAATGATGATCTCATTAGAGGAACAAATTAAGTAAAGATACATGTTGAAGCAAGAATAATTTCCACATGCAAAACATCAAATAGGACGATCTCTAAATTAGTACGCGGGAACTTTAACTATTACATTCATAGACAATAACACTAGTAAATGCTTTATATACTGACATTGAAACAAATATACTGCTCATAATAATTACACATCTGTAGACTTAATCTAGGTATCCCGCGTTATATAAACCATCACAAACCATCGAACAGCTCATCGCACTTCGGCGCAGACCAGCGCACTTCACGCGTGGCCATCAAACTTTATGATCTCCATTGCACCTCCGAGTCATACACACATATATATTCCGATTTTCTAAGAATGGTTTTTATTATTTTAATTCCCGTAGGTATTGCCCAAAGAAATAGGGTTTATTTAAGGGTTTACACATCTTCATAGCTAAAATATTTTGATACTTATATCTATGACAAACATTTCTTAAATTGTTAGTATATAAATTTGGATTTTTTTTAAGAAACGTAGGTTTCAGCTACAGCAGACTAAATTGGCTTTTGATGGATTGCAGGCTTATGTAAAAATAAGAAAATGTGGTATAATTGCTAGTGAGTCAACTATTCAAGAAAGTTCAAATCAAGAGGAATGCTAGCAGTTATATCTATACGACCTTCAATAATGAAAAAATACGGGAACTGTAAAGTCGGTTATCAAAGGCCCCGCCCCGACATGAAAAAAATATGAAACAATTCAATTGAGCAAACTAACGGCCTTCTTTATTTCTATGTTTTG